GGATACTGCTTGAAGCAATCGTTTATATTTATTTTAAGGCGTTTTACATCACCGACCTAATATAAAACTTACCAAAAAAATAAGGCGTTCGCAGAAGTTTTTTACGGCAATCTCCAATCAACAGAAATCGGCAAACATCAACCTTTAATCACTCTATTTTTATATTTGGGATCAATACTGGAAGTGTCTACCCTTTCGTAATAGTTAATGAGGTTGTCGCTGAAGATGTACCAACACTGCGCTGCTCCTGGGCAATAAAGCCATAGACCAGATTGAACGTATCGTCCCACATCTGTATCTTCTGCCACCTGGAAATCATTCGTATTTGTTGTCCACAGACTTTTCTTTGACAAAACAGTACCTGCCAAGCTGGTGTGAGCGTGGCAATAGTCAACAAGACATTGGCGACGATCGAGAGAACCCATACGACAAGCCAACACTTCTCAATTTTTGCTTGTGATTCCATCCACTCTATCACGATTCTTCGTCACCTATCACATAAACACTCTTCTTCTCAAAGTAATGTCAAATCTTCCGTTCTTTTCAGGAGAACTCTATCAGTAACATTACGATATCATAACTTCCCTCGCTTTTTTCTCGAGCAAACTTGCGCATTGATGTGGAAGTTCCTAGCAAAAGGTTCTTTCTCATGCCTCGCTGTTGATTTTCTTATCAAGTAGCCTGAGCTCACAAATTGTACAGTCCCAAAAATCTGAGTGTCCCAAAAATGTTAACACTGTTTGATCGTCTATAACTCTCTCGCTCTCATGTCTTTCGCCAAGCTTAGGGTACCGTTTTGTAGAGCGAGGTTCAACTTAGGTTCAAAGCTGAAGCGAGTCATCAGTCACACTTCATTACTGTAGGATTACGGAAGAAACTTTGCGAAGGATTATTGAAAATTGAAAGCGATTTTTGCCTCAGAAGGGAAACCAAATAGCCAGAAACTCTTGTATTGAGCTAATCGAAGTCGCTGCCTCTGAATATGAAATGTGCACCTCGCTGCAATGCTTCTTTCGTAAGTTATTACATTAGGGCAACAACTGGTTTTCCAATGTTCGTCAAAATGTGATTATACCATTAAGAAAGCTCGAAAAACTGACAAAAAGTTGAGAATGAGATCAGCACGTCAGAAAACCTTGCTACACAAAGTTCCAAACGTTTTGGAATTTTTTTCATCCGGAGATTCACAGTGGCGCTGTATGCCAAATGTTCATACCGTAATCCTACAGTAATGAAGAGTGACTGATG